AGTTAGACAAAAACAATGCTGTCCTTGTCTAGGCGGCCATACTTGTCGTGAGGAGAATGACAGGAATGACACTAATGACTGTTTCCAATTTTCCTATTTCACTGTCACCCCCCTGATGAAGATCGCTGTCATTTTATATGGGAAATGTCCTCAATCGTCATTTCCCAGCCAACTGGACGCCGTTTTTTCGATCATACGGTATATATTGACATAAGAACACTGAAAAGCACATATTTGTTTTCTACTGAAAATAATTCCAAAATAACTTGCAATCTGGCAACATCGAAGATGTGCGCATGCGTAGTGTCTGTGACTATATGCAGCAAAAACTCGTTTCAAGGTCAGCCACCGGATCCACACCATTACCAAAAATAGATCTTATACAATCGTTAAAAAGGGATATTAAGATTATTTGTTTAATTTATCTCTTTTTACGAAATAGGTAATGGTGTGGATCCGGTGGCTGACCTTGAAACGAGTTTTTGCTGCATATAGTCACAGATACTACGCATGCGCACATCGTCGATGTTGCCGGAATGCAAGTTATTTCGGAATTATTTTCAGTAGAAAACAAATAATTTTAATTTTCCTTCATATGTGTTTTTCAGTGTTTTTTTTGTCAATATATACCGTGTGATCCTTTGGTATGATCGAAAAAACGGCGTCCAGTTGGCTGGGAAATGACGATTGAGGACATTTCCCATATAAATTTACATAAAAAATGACAGCGATCTTCATTTCATAGTCATCGCTGACGCTATTTTTTTCGATCATAGTACCGGTATATTATTATATTATTTTAATATTTCGCACAACACGTGAACGCTTATTATGTATTTTCATAGTCAATAAAATTAAATAGAAATAAAACTCTAGATTCCTATAATTAATCTAATTGCTCTAGATTATTATGCAACGTTTAAAAAGGGCTTTATTAAAAATTCGGGAAATTAAAAGGGATGTGCCCAAGTTTTTTCTTTTTTTTTTAATTTTTAAATGCTGTAGCTCCATGTCATGTTCATAATAGTTTTTGTTAACATTCCATCAAAACTACGGAGGCCTTAAAAGGCCTTTTAGCCTCCGTAATTAAAATTGTAGAATCAGCTTCAGCAACATTAACAATTACCTTGTTTAATTCTGTTTATACATATATTGCATTAATTTTTCTGCTACCTTAATTTTCTCTATTCTTACACCTAATTTAGAATAGCATATATGATTTATAAACCATATTTTTCCTAATGGAAGGATGGAATAGGATATGCAAAATTAAGATATTTTAACATTTATTTTATAATATAGTATTAAGATTAAGACATAACAAATATTATAAGAAAGATCTTAATATAAATCACAAACTAACTAAGTCTTAATTTGGTTTTGTATAAACACAGGTATTAAACTAATAAGATCAAAACTCAACCTTCACCATATTGTCAAGATTTGGCTTTATTGGAAACAAGAAATTACAGTAAATTAAGAAAAGAATATCAAAATATACGATATAAAATACTGTAATGTATTCTACGACACAAACCATCTCCCTTCTAAAGAGAAAAAGATAAAACATAAAGCTTATTTTAGTCTTATCAGCACACTCTTCGATAAAATATATGTCTAAAATTGCTATTGATCCACTAACTTGATATTTTTAAGAAATTATGATACAAACGTTATAATCAAAGTAATATTATATTAGTAACATTATAGGACTATAAGACTCGTCGTGGTAGTACTTCGATACATCAATACATATAATCAAAACTATTGTTGCCTGTAAATAACTAGAAATTAAATAACTTGAAGAAATAAAAATAATTCTAATAAGTTTAAAACCATTAAGAAAAATACGTAAACGATCATTTTTAATTTTAATGTAAATATATAAATAAATATGTTATTATTATTACAATTTTATATATTCATAATACTTTCATTTCACAATCTTCATTATCTTTCTTACCTTAATTTTGGATATCAAGATAAATCTGAAATTATAAAATTAATTATAGAATTTGTATTATTATATTATTGATAACACTCAAAAAAAAATTTTTAACTGCAAATAATTCAAAAATAAACTGCAATTTGGCAACATCGACGATGTGCGCTTGCGTAGTATCGATGATCAAATGCAGCAAATATGGGCTTCAAGGTCAGCCACCGGATCCACACCTTTACCACGAAATATATTTAAATGTGATTGTTAACCCGGTTTCTGCCCGGTTAATCTAATGATCCAACCGTTCGTAATTAAACTACCAGCTGATTACTCTCAGCACTGATCTTGGAACAGCTGATTAGTAAACTACCTAATCTAGGATTTTATTTCCGAAAACCCCTATTATTAAGCCAAAACTTTTCAAACAACCAATGGGAGCTGTACTAAATTTAAAATTGACAGCTGTTTGAATTTTGTACAAATCTGATTGGTTCTCTTGACGTGTCGCTGGCGACAGTCGCAGTTCTGAGAACGGGGCTTTATCCTTATGGGCACTTCCACTTACCTTACTAAACTTGTTTCTTTTATCAATGGGTTTAGGCACAGAATATCTAGCTACGCAACAGAAGCCTCGTTACATGTATAAAATTGTAGGTAGCAAAAGGAGACAGGCTTTAAAAGTCTGTCTCCAAATCAGATATTTTGATGTGCTAGTTTCGCTACTACATAATAGAGGGCAATAAATTTAAAAGAAAACAGTTTTCTACAAACAAAATTTAAAAGAATTTTGTGCAGTGTTGCCATTGTGTAATTCATATCGAATACTTCCTGATAAAGCCTACCTTCAAATTTGCTACATCATTTAAACATATTAAAATAGATCAGAGCTGTTTTTTTCAGTTTGCCATGTTAGTTGGAATTAAATCTTATGAGCTAAATTACAACCACTTCCTGACGTTTGATTGTATAATTGAATCCTGAATTTTCATTGTAATTCGGCGACAATATAATAAGTATTGTTCTACTATTAAGATACCACTTCCTGACGTTCGATTGTGTTCATACCAAGTTCATATTGTATAATCGGGAAAAAACGGCGTTAACGATAGCTATGAAATGAATATCACTGTCATTTTATATGTAAATTTATATGGGAAATGTCATCGATCGTCCTTTTCCTTCCAACTGGACGCCGTTTTTTTCAGAAGCATATCAAGTGATACCATAATATAGTACTATATTACGATACATGGCGTTCGATTGGGTTTAAACTTGGTATACTATATCTTCAGTGACATTGTAATATCATGGTACCATGGAGCATATAAAGTGGTACCTTCTATAGTACCATATTTGATGACATAGCAATATTAGGTACATATCGGCAATAGGGATTAAACTTGGTATACTACGTATTTTCGGTGATATTGTAATATGATGGTACTATGATGCATATCATCTGGTACCATAATATAGTACCATATTATGTACATGGCGTTCGATTGGGCTTAAATATGGGATACAACGTATCTTGGGTGATATTGTAATATTATGGTACCATGGAGCATAATAAGAGGTACCATAAGATAGTACCATATTACGATACCATTTCCTGGCGTTCGATTGGACTTAAACTTGTTATACTACGTATCTTCGGTTACATTGTAATATGATGGTACTATGATGCATATAAAGTGGTACCTGAATATAGTACCATATTTCAATACCATTTCCTGGCGTTCGATTGAGCTCGTATTTGATATATACTTGCGTATTTTTGATGACATTGCATTATTATGGTACCATGAAGCATATCAACTGGTACCAAATATAGTACTATATTACGTACATGGCGTTCGATTGGGCTTAAACTTCATATTATTATATTATACTACGTATTTTCGGTGACATTGTAATATGATGGTACTATGATGCATATAAAGCGGTACCTTAATATAGCACCATATTACGATACCATTTCCTGGCGTTCGATTGGGCTTAAACTTGGTATACTACGTATCTTCGGTTACATTGTAATATGATTGTACTATGATATATATAAAGTGGTACCTTAATATAGTACCATATTACGATACCATTTCATGGCGTTCGATTGTTCTTAAATTTGGTATATTACGGATCTTCTGTGACATTGCAATATTATGGTACCTTAAAGCATATCAAGTGGTACCATAATATAGTACACTATTATGATATAATTTCCTGGAGTTCGATTGGGCCCAAATTTGGTATACTTGCGTTTCTTTATAAAGATTTCTTTAATTAATAATTTTAATTTATTTTACGAATTTTAATTTATTGTTCGATGTCGTGACAGCAACTTTTATGCCGAACTAATATATTATTAATTGTACCTGTGTCACTTTTTAAAATCTACCTAGATCTATATAAATAACGTGGCAAACGGAAGAAATTTGTTATTATAGTATATTTTAGTGAGTTAACACTTTTTGTACTGCATTTTAATAAATTATTTCCATTATTATTAAACTTATATTTCATTACTAACGTTCCAGCATTAATAAATATCACTATCAATCGCCCTGTATATTATTAATTTTAAAAAGTAATTAAAGGTATTTTCTTAGTTAACATTATAAGGTATAGTGTATATTAAAAATGTATATGTTTTGTAATAATATACTTAAAACTATTTTAATAGCCAAAGGAATAATTAATATAAGTGTATCTGACAAGAAAAGAAGAATAGAAAGAAACACATACTGCATTATACACAAAAAGAATGGGATGCCAATTGAAGTCTTTTTGAATCTGGCAACTGTGCATATTTAGCCGAGCTATAAGGCCGTCGACGAGCCGTCGATCCAAAACCGAAAGTTCAAAATTTCTAATCATATTCTGATTATGATATTGTCGCGCCATCTAGTATTCTATTTGTGCAATTTTAGCTCTTTCATTTCGAGTATATTTCTGTTGTGTAGCTAGATATTCTGTGGTTTAGGTTTAGCATTGGCAACGTTACTTTAAATTTTAAATGTCAGATATATGTCAGTTGTCAGATGTCAGAAACACATAACGACATAACCCAACATTTTCAGATTGTTTACAAATTTATTTTAGCAAATTTTCCCCTGTTGTGCATAGAATTGGTTAAAAAAGTAAGAGAAAATTGCAAAAATCTGAGTGTTTATTGAATACCTAACAAAATATGTGCGGGAACTTTGGGTGCACCGAACTTTGAATATATGAGAAACTAAGAAAAATTCAGTGTTGAAATAATTTTCCGTTTTTCTGAAGAAACGGTAAGAGACCGCCAGAAAAAAATAGACAGATTCGTAATCTACAACCTCAAAATAGGGCGTATACCAATTTTTGTGCAAATCGGACGATTCCCAGTTTTTCCAATAATTACCTTTTTTTATCAGGCTGAAGAAATCTCAGAAAAAGGTCAGATGTTCCATATGTAACTACCAAACTACCAAACAATACATATGTCGGGGTAATATACCCATATGTCAAACCTAGACGATATGTTTACTTGGCACTGGAAGAAAGGCATGTTTAGTGAAGCTCTGTGAAAAAAAATATGTCAAAACTGGGCTTAAAACATCACCTTCAGAATGATCATGTTGATTCCAGGTAAATATATTCTTAGTATAAAAATTATACCTAAATCATATACAGGGTGGTGATCATCATTGGAAACATAGAAAATTGCATGCAAATTTTGAACTGTCCAAATATTGGCTCCCCTGTTGATTTCACAGCAAAGTCGTAAATAGGTTATTAAAGGTCTGAGTATGCTGAATACACATGTCAAATTTGAACAATTTTAAACAACCAGTTTTGAATTATTTACAAAAAACTGCATCTATTTTTAAATTAAAACCAAACAGTTAAGACCTTAATTGCATAATGAGACTTGAAATGTTCCTTTGTGCGATAGTAGCACCTGTGATGTCCGATAAATGCTGGTGGCCTACGTGTATTATTATTTGATTCCACTATAACTTTCTAGGTTCGAGGTATGTCGTATTACATTTAATTAAATTGTTTAGCCACTTTTAAGTTAAGACATTTTTTTCTCAAGATATTTAGAAAGGAAATAGTCAATACATGTCATTATTGACAAAAAATAAACATGGTAGGTAGATATAATAGTTATGTATTTGACTGTTATATGTTACTATATTTTGTTAAATTAATCATAAAATTTTGCTTCGAAAAAATGATGAAGTTCTTTTGAGTTAATTAAAAATATACAGGGTGTCCCAAATAAAAATTCAATTTTTCTGTTGATAACTCTTAACTAAATCAAATTACTAATTTAAAAAAAATATATGTAAACCATTAAATACCACGTAAACAGGTGTTTTGGAAATGTTTTCCTAAAAATACAAAATTTTTCATACCAAAAACGTTACAGCAATTTGTTACAAATGCACATTTTTGAAATACTGTAACTGTGAAACGATTAGCATTAAAACATGACTCTTGATCTAGCCACGGCATGGCAAACGACCGACCAATCAAATGTGTTGTTCTATTTTCGGGGTCATAATGGTATTGAGCGCCAAATCGAGGGTCAGAATGTTGCATACAATACAGCGAGCACCATTAAGCAGGATATACTTTATTTGGAATATTTGATGGTAAAAAATTATTTAAATAAATAAATACCTCCTAAGAAACCAGTTTTTATTAAAAAAAATATTTTAAAAACGCACAATATTAATAATTAAGTATGAGACGATGCTCAATGCGCAGCGCCATGTTTTATAGCATTAGGGCGATTTGCTTTGACATTATCAGCCAAATTGTGTCGCCGTTTTGGTCTTTTCTTGGGTTCGTATTCTGCTGGGCGGCCTATATAAAGAAGCTCTTTTGCATTCCCTTACAATTTCTGGTCTTCGTCTAGCAATAGACGTTGGTTGTACGTGAATTACTGATTTCCTCTTAAACTTCAGCGGACTGATGCTTCCAGCTGTATTTAAAAAACTCTCCCATGCACTTTTCGTTAATTAAGTCTTGTAACAAATCTATTATAACTTTGGGTAGTAGTACCAAATTTTGCATTTTTTTTCCTTCAACATATTAATAAGTGACTCAAATGAAACATCATTAATATTTTCCCCTGATTGGTGCTCACTGAAGCCTTGACAATTTGTCATATCATTCTTGGGTACCACTTATTTCTACGGCACAAGAAGCCACAAATCATCCGTTTGCGCGCGCCTTCTGTTTTGACGTTTCTACCTAACCTATTATTTATTTTCGATTTCGGTGTTTATTTTATATTTTGTGTTTGAATTTGAAATTAACTGACTATTACCTTAAATTCACGTCTATCTAAAAAAACAAAACCAATGAATTAACACCCTCCAAATAACCACGCTAACCAACCCGCCAAATAACCAAAAACAATAAACAATGCCCTAACCTTAACCTCAAAATATCTCGACCAATAGGAAATGGAATGCATACACGGATGATTTGTGGCTTCTTGTGCTGTAGACATAAATTTGGGTAGCTAGTAGACTAATATCTGAACTCATATTATCTGAAAACTCGGGAGCTTCAGTCATAGTTTCATTTAGCTTTTGATTTGTAAATGGCATATAAAACTCCTTCGGCTGTACATTTTCTCCAAAAGCTATTCTTTAATCCAGTTTTTTATATCATTTTCACATAGTAAATTTGCTCTATTTTTTCACCTACATCCAAATATGTAAAAGTTGTTGGAAGTAGTATTTGGCCATTATTTAACGTTTCTATATCAGTTATTTTCACTTATTTTTATAATAATCGGCTAGGTAATAGAGTGATAAAACACGTATTACTTGTATTTTGTATGCTAAAGCGCGTGGCAGAATCGCGCTGTGGCTAGATCAAGGGTCATAATGTTTTCGCACACAATAACATTCTGACCCTGGAAACAGAACATCGAATTTGATTGGTCAGTTTTTCGCGCTGTGGCTAGATCAAGGAATATAATGTTTTGATGCAAACGGTAACTGATATCAATGTGCGGTTTTCACCATCATGTTTTTCATAACTAGTAACTTGATAACTAAACTTATTCACTCTGTATCTCCGAAACTAAGCATTTTAGGACAACATTTATACAAACTTTTTTGCAAAATAAAACACTAAATCACCACAATACACAAAAACACTTTTACTAAAACTTTTTTAGTTTTTAATCATCTGCTGATGATGGTTAGCGAAACGCACGTCCAGTGTAAAAGTAAAAGTGTTTTGATGTATTGTGGTGATTTAGTGTTTTATTTCGCTGTGTAACACCAAAGGTTCCAACCCTCAACTGTAACAAACTTTTTTACTTATTTTTATCTGCATAATATGCTGCTGACGTTTCCCGAATACAATTCGGACCACCCTATACATACAGGGTGGCGCACCTCATTCGCCTCAGTTGATTATACGAAAACGGAAAGATGTAGAAACAAAATATTTTATGAATATGTGGGAAGGCAATATGCATAATTTAAAATTATTTTGAAATGTACAGGGTGTGTCAGAACTAACATCCATACCAAAGTTATATTTTTTCTTATGGAACACCTGGTATTTTATTTCATTTTTGGATTCTTGGACATAAAATAGGGCATTTATTATAAATATATTGGAGGGTAACTATAAGCATATGGGTAAAATAATATCAGCATATGGGGTGATTTAGTTCTAAATTTTTTCGTCTTTAGCCGTTTCTTACTTATTATGTTATTATTCGTGAGGCTATATTTTTTAGGAACCCTGTTTGATAAGAGTGTAATATTTAAATATTTTTATTACTTTTATTAGATCGAAAGAAGTTCGAAGTAAAAAGTTCGATGGAAGGAAAAAGGTCTATATATGTACCCTATGTGACTTTCAAACAATATTTAGGAAAAGTCTTGACAAACACCAGCAAATTCATTTACCACCGGGAGAACGACAGCAGTTTCCTTGTGCGCATTGTGACAAGAAATATACATCAAAAACCAACGTACAACACCACCTTCAGAATAATCATATTGATTCCAGGTAAATTTATTTTGTGTAAAGTCGGTCCCAGACACTACGTCCTTTTGGTGAATTTGCGAACATTCGAATTATGTATTGCGGCTTCGGCCACCTTCCCACACGCTACGTTATTTGTAAAAATGCGTCCAATGACAAATATTTCCCGTAGTAGAGCAACGCCGCCGCGCGACGTCTTGATTTTCAGTGCTGTTGCAAGAAATAATACATAAATGTATGACTTATCTCTGTACAGGGTGGCTCGAATTCGAAGCTCATCATTGGGATTTCGGAAACCGTAAGAGATACAGGATCGGTTAAATGGAGGCAAAGTTGCGCAATTTGATCATCAATAAAATGCCGTATTGCATTTTTTTTTTTTGCATAAAATGTTCTGGTGATGGAATTTTCTGTACGAAACGTCGCCAAATATCAAAGTGTCTATATATAGTGTTTTAAGAGTGATGAAAGGATTTAATTAAATTGAAAAAAAATCAGGTCCGTATTTAAAAAAAATTAAGTTGATGATGGTCGCCAGAAGCCGAAACGTCAGAGTCAATATTTAATCACACAGAGTTACAGAGCAGTAAAAGTGGCCACGAAAATGTGTTTTTCATTTTAAGTTATCTTAACAAATAAAGCCAGGAAATAATAGAAAACAAAATTTAAAATTCCGTTTTTTTTTCGAATATATTCGGAAGTATTCCGAATTTTTCATAATGCAATACGGCATTTTATTGAGCATCAAATTGCGCAACTTTGCCTCCATTTAACCGATCCTGTATCTCTTACGGTTTCCGAAATCCCAATGATGAGCGTCGAATTCGAGCCACCCTGTACTTATTGTGTCTCTTGGAGAATAAACTGGTTGTAGGAAATTGGCCATGATTTGGTATGCGAACCACGCAGGTTTGTAGACTTCATCCCTATCAGCACCCGACTTCAAACTAGCTTTCACTTTATTAAACAACTGGCGAAACGTTGCCATCAAAGACTCTTTTTTTTAATTCGACAACCGAACACTCCACGCTAAACTTTGATTTAATATTATTCCAGGCATCAGCATCAGCCACTTTGTTCCTGTTTTATGATCTGGAATCTGTGGAATATAGCTGTGCACCCGCTATACCGGGTGCGTCCCAAAAGTCGCTCACCCCTATAACTTGTATTTTTTCAGATAAAAAACGATATTTGGTATGTTAGTACTCGTATATGACATAAGTTAGGATTTAATGACGTATTCAATTGTTTTTGGTCACTTCCTGCTTCACCGGAAATGACTACAACTTTTGATTTTTAAATAGCACAATCGGTATTTTTTACTTTATTTGATAGAAAATGATGATGTTTATTTGGAATGGTAATATGCGGTTCATAAGGACCATTTGACTCGAAATACCAAGTGTGTGGTACTAAATTATTTGTAAAAAATGCTTTTTCCAAATTGCTAATAAGCCACCCTCGTTCCATTTGAAAAAAATGAGATATGCTTAAAAATACGATTTGGATCTTCTTTAACCGGCCAGGACAAGATACTAAAAACATTAGATGATCAAATCTATTTTTCCAATGCTCCTTGATTAAAAATTAGTGATTTTAACACAGCCATGACACTCTAGATTGAAATTTAAAATACGATTATTTTAAGCGAAAATTTTAAAAGTTGACATATGATATGTCATATTATTCAGAGTTTCATTTTCTTTTGAATAAAGCAAAAAATACCGAGGGGGCCATTTAAAAATTAAAAGTTGTAGTCATTTCCGGTGAAAAAGGCAGTAACCGAAAAAAAACTGAATGAGTCAATCAATCCTAATTTATGTCATATACTAACATACCATGCAAATCTCGTTTTTTTATCTGAAAAAATAAAGAAGTTATAGGGGTGAAACAGTTTTGAAACGCACCCGGTATATCGACGAATTATTCGTAGTTTGCATCACACAAGGCAATTTTTTGCGGCAAAATTTAACTTTGCATATAAAATATTTATTTATTTACATTAATCTAAATTTATGAAGCAAAATAAAACACCAAATCACCACAATACACCAAAACACTTTTACTTTTACACTGGACGCGCATTTCGCTAACCATGTTAGCATAACCAGCAGATGATTAAAACTAAACTAATGTCTACAAAATTGAGCGTTTATATACTTGCTCAGTTGGTTCTGAGTGGGCGTGGCAAAAACTAACCAAGCGAGTCAAAACTAACCGGGCGTAACAATTAGTTACCGAAACTAGAGCAGTAGGAACAGAGAACTGGAAGGAATTGGGTCATTGTCTCTGTTCATACTATCTTTACATTTGTTAATTTTGACGTTCTCATAAGCATCTAATTGCCTGTAATTTGAGACTTGTTTAACTAATTTTAAATTATTAATATCTATACAATGTTCTGTAATAACAATATGTTCAGCAACGCAAGATTTATTCGGTCTACCGTGTCTTATCTGAGCTATATGTTCTTTAAATCTAGTTAATATTGATCTTCTAGTTTGCCCAACATATTTCTGATTTCATGTAAAGATTGTAACATGCTACATGGTTAGCGAAACGCGCGTCCAGTGTAAAAGTAAAAGCGTTTTGGTATATTGTGGTGATTTAATGTTTTATTTTGCTGTTGCAACACCAAAAATTTCAACCTTCAACTGTAAATTCATGAATAATAGATAGATATTTGAGTGACAAACGGTCTTTTATCAGTTATTTTTGGCGTCTGCCCCGAGAATCGGCTGGTTGAAATTAACGACAATTTTTTTCATCTAGATGGCTGAAAATTGGCACATTTATATAAATTATAGATGGGGGTTGGGGGTTGGAACCTTTGGTGTTTTGAGACTCTTTACTTTTAAACACTACGCGCTTTTCGCTAACCATGCAGCAGATGATTAAATCTTACATCACAGTTTTAATCATCTGTTAATAATGGTATCATGGTTAGTGAAAAACACGTCCAGTTTTTAAAAGTAAAGTGTTTTGGTGTATTGTGACATTTATATAAAATTAAAAAATAATACTTTATCAAATATAGGAAACCTTAATCTTTTATCTAAAACTTCTGCGACACTGTAAACTTTCGTAGATGTAAGGCTCTAATAATATCCTCGCAGCTATAATGTCAACATAATATATGGATGATTCTGTTCAATTTTTTTTTTAACAAAAATCTTGGCTGCGATCAGATATTGAGGATAAGGGTGTATTCGGACGTGACGTCACACCATAAAATTGTTCTTCCTTTTGCGACTATTTTCGAACCAGACTGGAATGTCTTTGTCTAGAAGTATAGCCTTTGTTTAAAAACGTTTTTGAACGTTAATTTTATGCCCGGACTGCATCTACCCTGAATATCTGCACGTACAGTACGTCTGTCCGTTCTGTAGCTACGCGGTATCCGTGAGAGGGGAAACGATATTCTCTCGATGTTTTTCGTAAAAAATTAGACGACGCGTCCCATCAATAAAAATTCGACAAATTTGCAAGTGGCCAATAAAATGAGTGGGCGGAGCGATTTGCGGTGACGTACTCGTCAAGTCGACGTATAAAATATATTGCTGTTTATTTAAATGTTTTTTGTCCGCATTCCTTTCATAGACACAAATCCAGCAGATGCCTTTTTGTTTAGCAATCGTCTGTGACTTCTAATGGGTAGATGTGTGAGGTTATGTTTGATCAACCCCGATTTTTAGAGTTACATGACTGTAATATTAAAAATTCTTTTATTAGGGCTAAAGAATTGAATAAATTGCAAAAAAAGGTCTATAGATGTTCCACATGTAGCTACCAAGCACGAGATATGTCGGGTCTTAGGCAACACAATCTTGTTCATTTGGCGCCGGAAGAACGACAGATGTTTGCTTGTGCGCACTGTGAGAAAAAATATACGTTAAAGAGAAACTTAAGACGTCATCTTACGGATGATCATACTGATACCAGGTAAATTTATTATTAACATAATAAATAAAAACTTTGATACAAAAGCCAAATGAAGGGTCTAAGGGAAAAACTTGATAAGCGCCTATTTCTTAATTTTAGGATTTTACAATATTACAGTAGGTCTAACTGGTTGGTTGGTGTCCGGCCGTAGCTTCAGCGGTAGTGTGTCGATCCCCAGCTAGTACGGTCGCGTTATTAATTTAAAATAAACATGTCTATTTATCTAAATAAAGCGTCTAGCGAGCCGCCACCTCAAGGAACGCAATGACAAATCACCTTGACTATATTTGCCTTGTACAGGGTGGGCCAAATTGGACGCTTTTAAAGGGAAACATACTTTTCTATAGGATGTCTATCTCCAATAAACAAGCAATCTATCTCCAATAAAACCAAACCAAACCAAATCAAAACTAATATCGGTGTCTGGAGCTCAGTTTTTATCAAAAATATGACAGTGAAAACCGCACATCAATATCTGTTACCGTTTAGGAGTCTCGGGGTGTTTTTCAAAAATGTACATTTTTAACAAATTGCTGTAACCTTTTTGCTATAGAAAATTTTGTATTTTTATGAAAATATTTCCAAAGTACCTTTTTACATAGAATTTAATGGTTTAAATATAGTTTTTTTTAAATTAATAATTTAAGAGTTATCAACAGAAAAAATGATTTTTTATATGGGACACCCTGTATATTTTTAATTAATTGAAAATAGTTTAAACTTTTCTACAACCGTTTAAAAATATAGCACACTTGATATTTTGCTTGATACCTGTTCTTGATATAGAGATAGAGTTTATAAAAATTCGCCCACTTTGAATAAGCAGGCTCTAAAAGGCGCCGCGCCGGCTGTAATGCAAAAAATTCTAACTGTGACCAGCAATTGTTACAGAGATTTGTTAAAAACAAAAAAGTTACAAAGATTTGTTAAAAACGCACATTTTTGAGAAACACCCCGTAACTCCGAAATGGTACCAGATATCGATTTGCAGTTTTCACCATCATGTTTTTGATCAGAATTGAGCTCCAGACACCGATATTAGTTTTTGTCTATTTCCTATAGAAAAGGGTGTTTCCCTTTGAAAGCGTCCCATTTGACCCACCCTGTACAGCCTCTCAAATAGTGCCGTTCGGATTCGGCGATAAACTTTAGGTCCCGTGTACTTGTGAAACACTGATGACACACATCGCAAGTAGATGCGAGAGGTAGCCGATTCTCCGTATAGAGTATGGCACTGTTAGAAGAACTGGTCCCTACTAAATGTATAAACTCTGCAGGGAAATAAGTTGTTAAATCCTATGATATATGCCTAGTAGAAATATGGAATACACGGAAAGAACCTGATAGCCGCCGGCCGTTCAGTGCTCTTCTGTAAAATTAGTAAAATGGCGCTTATCGTGTTTTTCCCCTGGACCCTTCACTTAGTATAGATTATGACAGCATTATGTTATTTTTGGAATAGGGATTTGAGTAATTTATTTAAAAAACTAGAAACCTATGAAACATAAATAAAATCTGTAAATCTATGAAACATTTTAACCTTAGTGCTCTCTCGGCTCGCATATTTTGTGAAAAACATTGGAGAAAATCTTATAGATCATGATATCAAATTTTTTCGGCTCAAGCAATAAGCTGTAATATTAAGAAATTCTTTTATTAGAATGAAGGAATCGCAGAAAAATGTCCATAGATGTTCCACGTGTAGCTACCAAACACGAGATATTTCAACACTTAGGCAACACGAGAAACTTCACTTGGCACCGGAAGAACGACAGATGTTTGTTTGTACACAGTGCGATAAAAAGTTTTCCAGAAAATACGACTTAAAACGTCACCTCAAGCGTCGTATTCATTCCAGGTAAATTAATTGGTAATATAAGAAATATTGATAATGATGAATTTAATACCTACTTTTTATTAATAAATAATATTTTCTTTTAATATATATGATATAATATTATTTTCCTAGGTACCCGGTAGCGTAGAGGTACAGGCTCTCGTCTACCAATCTCAAGGTAGTGGGTTCGAATCCCACACCCGGCATTTCATCAGCCGACTATTTTTATTAAAATAAAAATAGTTTGGGTACCTAGGTCGACTCAGCCTTAAATGAGTACTTGGGATTCACAATACTGCGGTAATAATAGGCGGTTGAAGCGTAGTGCTAGCCACATTACCTTCCTTGTATACCGAACGGTTCTAGTATGGCAAGCTGTACCTTGCTACTCCCAAGGCGTTAAACGCTATACCGACCTGGTCATTTGATTACTGTGTATAGGATTTTAACGTGTAAGACAGAGAATAATATAAATGACCGGTTGACAGACAGAGAGACAGCATCAAAGGGGCCGGCGAGAAGCCGGTGCGACCGATACAGTGTTGCCGGTTTTTACGGGTGTGGGCAAGTAAAGCATAAGCATGGTGGGAGAACGCATTGAGAGGGGCGGTGCTTTATGTTAAGGTTCGTATTCACTATCCGAAAGAACAAAGGAATGAAATTCGGTATATTTGGACAGCAAACCGAATGCATGCGGCCGTTCGCCATTCGGTTCGCTCCCTCATCTGTTTCCATTCGGTATATCAAAGACGTTCGCAAACGAATGAGAATTATAGAACCGCGCGAACAAGACTGGACGTTCGCTCGTTGGATAGTAGCATTCGTTCGTTCGGATAGTGAATACGCACCTTTATGTAGATGAAAAGGTGGGGAAAGGAAATAGATCACCTGAGATCCAAACTATTTTTGCATCATTCTTTTCGCCTAGCTGTTTCGGTGTGTACGTTAAGTGTTTCAAAAATGGCTATTTATACGACCGAAGAGAAGGTGCATATCGTTAAATGGTTTTACATTTCCTCAAGTGTGGAAGAGGTCATTGGGCGTTATGTGTTCACCTTTCAAGATCGCCCTGTGCCTTATGCCACAACTGTACGCAACATTGTTCATAAATTTGAGCAAACAGGCTGCATTGCGGCGTGCAGAAATTGTGACAATAAGGAAGGCGCAGAGAAGGTAATTCCCGACAAGGAAATTAATATTTGTGCCGCTGTCGAAACAAGCGAACCTTGTTCAAGCCGAAATATAGCCGAACAAGTTGGTTGCAATGCTCGAACGGTGCGCAGAGTTTTAAAAAGGCATGGATATAAGTCCTACAAAATCAGTACCACGCAAGAAATTTTTCCCGCAGATTGTAACAGACGTCTGAGTTTTGCGAGGCTGTAAGAGAAAGAGCCGATCGGAATAATTTTATTTTTAAAATATATTATTCTCAGATGAAAGCTCGTTTCCCTTACATGGCTACCACAATCCTTCGATAGTACGTTATTGGTCTCGAGAAAATAAGCACCTTAGTATGGCACTGCGGACACAATATCCACAAAAACTAAATGTTTGGGCTGGCATGCTGCAAAATCATATCATTGGGCCTTTTTTTATTGATGGTATGTTAACAGCTGCCAAATATTTGGATATGCTACAAAACCAAATTGTACCAGCAGTTCGAAATTTGCCAATCAATTTTGAGGAAGTGTGGTTTCAGCAGGATGGCTGTCCTGCGCATAACGCGCGGAACGTAAATCTGTTCCTTCAAACCACATTTCCCAATCGGCTAATTTCCACACAAGGCACAATTAATTGGCCACCACGTTCTCCTGATTTGTCGCCCAATGACTTCTTTCTGTGGGGATATGTAAAAAACTCCATTTATGGCCATAACCATGAACGACCCATGAATATTGACGAGCTGCGATTAAAAATCGTTCAGTCGTTAGAAAATATCCCCGCTGTTATGTTAGCTAAAGTTAGGTCAGAGTTTTATAACCGTCTTGGCTATTGCGAAGCACAACAGGGAGGTATTTTTGAACCTTTGATTTAATTTTTTATAATTATTTTGCTAATTGTCCTTTTTTAAAGTTGATTTTTAGTCATTTTTTTAATGCTTGTTTTAACTTATGCTGAAACAGCAACAAAAACATGAGCAGTATAGATACAACCGGACGTTTAATTATTTTTATTGTTAAAAGATTAAACGTCTCGAGATGTATGGATAACCTTCAAAATCGTAAATATATTGTAGAATGATGTACACCCAACCCCTTTCAAAATCCGACTGATTTGATTTCTGTCTACCGTTCTAGGACTTCGATACTGTCAGTGTTGCCAGATGAAGTTTTGAAAATTTCCTGAAGCCTGGTTGGCACGGTCAATCAACCAACAAAAAAATATTCTTTTAAAATATTTATCTGATGATACTTTTAGAAATGCCAAGTTTGAGAAAACAAATTAAATACACACACTAAATTGTGTCCAAAAATATGCTTTCTAAAAAGGTATTTCCTGGATAGAAACCTTAATGTTAGGGAATATTTCCTAGACCTGGCATCTACGGCCATATTCTCTCCCACCACTTGATTTGTCTCACCCCGCCTCTCGAAATGTGGAAGCCATGCATATCTCTTCGCACGTGTCACCACCAAACCAAACCAAACTCTTGAGTCATAGGCGTACTAATATTTTATTTTCATTTAGATTTAGTATTACAGCCAATTTTAGTTTAAAAGTTTTGCTTATGAATTCTGTAAAAATTTAATTTATTAGAATTTTAATAATAATCTTTTTATGACAGCTGACAATGTTTAAGATGCAAACAGTGGAACAACGCCTTCACCACGCTGCTTCTTAAGCCCCATACATACTCAATATAAAAAAACTCATCGACATGATCAAAAAGTTTTATGATCAAGCGGGTTTTGTATCATAAATAAAAACAGATAAACAATTTTTATGTAAAACGACCTTTAAAATTAACATTATAAACATTATGTAACTTTAAGTGGCATCGTTTTTATGATTCTAATTGTGCTACACTTTAAGGGGTGTGAAATAAATTACTTATTTATAATAATACTGAATTTATGCGGGGTGGTATAACTAGTGTTATAACGGTTGTAGCTATAGTATTACGGGCAACCAACGGTCCAGCTACGTCGAAACACCGGTTCCCATTAGAACACCGAAGTTAAGCGACGTAAGGCGATACTAGTGGATAGACGGGTGACCAGTTCGAAACTCTGTATCGTGCTGTTGTCCAATAAAGGCAAAAGTGTAAAATATTTTGACACACACTGCTCATTCACGCCGGTTCAAGGCCGGATGAGATCGGATATCTCGTGAGTAAGAGTCGATTTAGACACTTGCTCGGTCATTGACCGAGGACCGCTGTTCGGATTCCGCGTAAACAAAGTAGGCCCCGTCCAAATTAGCCCTGGCAGCAAAAAGGAGATGTTAACTTCAAATCTTTTACTTTACTTTATAGTATTACATTATAACATTATCATGTCATAATATTATGAAATAATATTTCCTACTACCAATTTTTTTAATATTGGTACAGCAAACTTATCAGTATAAAGTTTTACTTATCTTTATCCTTTTTATTGCTATTTATAATTCTGAATACGAGGATAAGAAATTTTAGTTTTCAGTACGCCTATGACCGAAAGCGAACGTCTACCTCCCGCTTCATCAGCGGCCATAATTGGATGGAATCAGGGATGAGTAAATATAAAGGACCATAAAATTAATAAATTTTGCTGGTCTGCTGCAACACGTAAGAAATATTTATTGATGGATCAGTATGACAGAGAAGTAATAAAAAGGCCGTTTTTATGAATAACAAAATGGTATTTGAACATCATAATATAATCATATTGAATTGACAATAGATTAATTTATCAGCTATCCGCAGAAAATTGACAATAATAATAAAAACATGACACATGGCAATTAATATAATTCCAAATTAAAAATGGATAAGAGTTTTCATTCATAATAGTAATACAGATATATTTCAAAGAACTTTACTTAAAATTAAGTTTTTTAATTTTGTACTAGTTTATAGCACTTGGTGGTATAACTTGACAAAATAATATCAATCATTAAATAAAGCATAAACGAACCAATAAATAAACAAAAAGGTTAATTTATTTAATAAAACGTACAACGTACGGCTTTGTATGCCGATTGTCGTGTGTATGAAGAATAAAGTCAACGTTTGTTCAGTACAATACGATATACTGAAAGAGAAAAGACTATAAAATACGGGAGAAAAATGAGAAGTTTATTACCTATCCACTTAATCCGGATCGGTCGACAATAGAATTTGTGATATTTACAACATTATGTAATTAATTGATTATCGGTCCTATTATGTAACTGAGGATGTACGTAACTAAGTAATAGAGCATATTTTTTGGTTAGTTTATTTAATGAAGCGTACACACGGCTTTGGTTGCTGATTCTCGTGTGTCAACGTGTTCAGTACAATACGATATATTGAGAGAGATGCTGATGCACTATTACGTAGACACGTATATCCTTAGTTGCATAATAAGACAGATAATCTATTAATTCCAAAACGTACTAAAAGCGCAAATTCTGTTGTTGAACAATGTAATCAGTATGATTACAGATTAAATAATTATGGAGGTGTATATGAAACATTAAACGATTCATCATTGTGTTAAGTTATACCACGTAATTTAACAAAAAGATCAATCATTTAATGTCTCACTTCACACTAGCTCACTCCATTATTATTTAATACTGATTAGAAGGTCGACAATAGAATTTGCACTATTTACTACGTAATACAGTATATTTTTTGGTTAGTTTATTTAATGATATAACCGATAATGTACACACGGCTTTGGGTGCCGATTGTCGTGCACAGAGTCTATAGACTCTGTGTTTGTATAAATGAACAAAGAGAAAAGAGCAAGAATTTTCCCCAGCGTATGAAGTTGAGCTCCGGATTAAGTGGATAGGTAATAATTTTCTCTCCCCGACTTACAAGATTGTCATAGCGATTCACTTCTAGATATGTAGGTAAA